TTGCATAGTTTGATCCTTTTAAACTTGAGCTTCATTTTTTCGCGTGATTTCCTCGGGCATGGCGTGCACTGCCCGGGCTTGCACACCGTGCCTTACATTAGGCAAGGCGTCCTGCCTGCACCGCTCACATTTTGCATCCCCAGTCCCAGGCCTACCCGCTGCTGCTCAGTTTAAGCCCACTTGTGCCGAATGAAATCAGCTTGGTTGGCCAACAGAAAAGTCCTGCCGATCGTGCTTGTTTGTTAACATCCGGCTCCAACAATCAGCCGCGCCACAAAAAGTCTCCGGATTCTATTGAACGACCCGAGAAGTACAATCAGAGGGCTCCAGCCCACGTAGCGCTCCGTCTGGTCCACTCTCCCCCCCCCCCCGCGCTTCTGCCCGGCCCACTGCCTCGCGCCTCCGTCCAGCCCACTCTCCCCGCGCTTCCGTCCGGTCCGCTTTCCTCGAACTTCCGTCCGACCCACTCCCCCGCGCTTCCGTCCGAGAAATTCTGCCCGCGGTTCTGTCTGGCCTACTCTCCCGCACTTTCGTCCGGCCCATTCTCCCCGCGCTTCCGTCCGGCCCACTCTCCCTGCGCTTCCGTCTGGCCCACTCTCCCGCACCTCCGTCCGGCCCGCTCTCCCCGCTCTTCCGTCCGGCCCACTCTCCTCGCGCTCCTGTCTGGCCCACTACCCCGCGCCTCCGTACAGCCTGCACAGAATTTAATATGACACAGTTCGCGTCGGAAGTTTGGCGAGTAGGCGTGCAGGTAGGTGCGGCCATGTGACGTCCGCCCAGCCACCCACCTCAGCTGGTTTAGTCAGCCTGTGCCCGCGTCTTTCATTCTGGTCCATCTGAACGTGCCGCTAACGTCAGCAGGAAGCCGTTCGACGGCCGCAGTGCGCGCGGTATGTCTGCCAATGAGTTCCACACACAAACAAGATAGTTTTGCTTACGTCACCGCTTTAGTTGTACGGGAAAGTTATTCCTTTGGCACACGCCACAGCTGTGTTTTTGCTGCAAAGCGCGACTGGAGCCGTTAATGCAGCACAAGAGCTATTAATCACTGAAGGCAAACAAAGAAAAAAGTTGCTTGGCTTACTTGTAGCATGGCAAGGAAGCAGCGCCCGTCGGGTCAGCGCCAGCGGCCTACAGCCGGCTCTGCGGACTCGGAGGCCAGCCTGATGTTGTCTGAGAGCCATCCTGTCGTACGGAGCGACACACACGCGCCGACAGCCAGTGACGGCTCCCGATGCAGCGCCGGCTGGCGGAATGGCACGGCTCTATTCAGGGCCGCCGAGCGGTTGTCAACGGTGACAAGAAGTGCTTTCTGGCAGCGAGTGGTTCAGCACTACCTTCGGGCCTTTCAGGTTTGGAAACGACGGTCTCGGGCGGGCATTAATCACTTCTTTTGCTATATTTGTGCTTGTGTCTACCTTAGGGAACAGCAATAAAATCCCTCGTGTATATCTCAGTCAGAGCATCGCACATGACATGTGGCCATGTCGTACTCTCCGGACCAGCTATTGCTGGCCAATATGACAGCAGTAATCCATCTAACAACAATGGAGTCAGGTCAACGATGCACCATGAATATAGCGTGTAAATTGATGCGCGCTTACTTGCTCATTCGTTTCCAATCGCTGTGCCTCATTTGGTCAAAGTGACAGTCTGTACTCATCCGCAGTTCAGAACATCCCACTGCGCACTGCTTTTAAAAGCTCTGTAAGGAGCCGCGCTGTGAACACTGTGGAGTTTGCTGGGAAACCGACTCGCTTCAAAATCCTAATTGCCCCCTCGCTGACCCGACTGGCTGAGAGCCACCGCAATGGCACGGACGCCTCCGTGTCTGTATCGCGTAGTTCATGCAGAGATGCCCGGTGTCAGTCAGGGCAAGGGGTTCTCTGAAACCGCAGCGACTCGACGTGATCCGTGTGAAATGGATGCTTCGCTGAGCTGGTGACGCCCCGATAGCCTTCTGATCTCTTTCGAGCCGCCTGCGTGTGGGAGTGGGAACCCTGGCGTCACTCGACATGATCGGTGGGAAATGGATGCTTCGCTGAGCTGGTGACGTCCCGATAGCCTTCTGATCTCCGCCGAGCCGCCTGCGTGAGAGAGTGGGGACCCTGGCGTCACTCGACGTGATCCGTGTGAAATGGATGTTGCGTTGAGCTGGTGACGCCCCGATAGCCTTCTGATCTCCGCCGAGCCGCCTGCGTGTGGGAGTGGGGACCCTGGCGTCACTCGACGTGATCCGTGGGAAATGGATGCCCGCTGAGCTGGTGACGCCCCGATAGCCTTCTAATCTCCGCCGAGCCGCCTGCGTGTGGGAGTGGGAACCCTGGCGTCACTCTTCTGCGCACGTCTCCGGGAAAACAAACACGTGACAGGCGGCGCATTGATGTGACAGATTTGCAGCCAAAACTATTATACGAGCATCGTTTGTCATTTTCTAGGAAGGCAGTCGGACAATTTTAACGGTGGGCACAATCAGAAGGTTTTCTAAGGGTGCCAACTCCGAGTCTTGGTGTTCCAGTTGGAACCAGGGGAGAAACCTGACCTTGTGTGAAGCAAGCCATTCACGAATCATCCTCCTGGCGACGAAACAGCCTGGTATCTCCGCACGCAACCAAGAGGCATCCCCACATCCCAGTACCTGCTGGGAAGGCAGCCTCACACCCTTCATGTGCCCGGAAAACAGCTCGACAATCTGTCACATTGCGCCCGGGAGGCAGATGGCACCCCGTACACCAGGCCGGTATCCTGCATGTGCCTGAGAGCTAAAGTAGAACTCCAACACCTCCCCGGGTGAAGGTCGAGAGCTCCTGTAGCTCCGCGGAGCCGGCCCGGCTTCCCAATATACGACTTTCCAGCAGGCAGCCTGATGTTCCTGTACGTAACTGCTGCGCGGTCTTACACTGCTGTGCATGCCTGGGAGACAGTGCGACACCCCTGCGCGTGGCCGGGAGAAGCCCGGACGCCGGCCAGACTGATGCCGTCGGGCGGCGGCGACAGCCAGTCTGGTGTCAGACCGGACGACGACAGCTGTCCCAGCGTCACGAGGGGCCATATGGCTGTGATTATTCTCGGCCGGGAAGGCATCTGTGACCGGGCCGCGGTGCCACCGGCACTCGGCAACGGATCGAGCGGCGATCGACTAAACAGACGACGCGTCGCCGCCCGCCCCGCCCCCGCCCCACCGCCGCCTGCCGCGGGCTGGCGACAGTTCCCGAGCAGGCCGCCGGGCGGGGAAGGCGTCCGGCGCAGCGGGCTGGCGGCAGCTCCCGAGCAGGCCGCCGGGCGGGGGAGGCGTCCGGCCCGGAGGGCTGGCGACAGCTCCCGAGTAGCCCGCCCCGTCCCCACTCCACCAACGCCTGGCGCAGGCTGGCGACAGCTCTCGACCAGCCCGCCGGGCGGGGAAGGCGTCCGGCCCGGCGCCGCCGACCGACGGGCAATAAAACGCCCGGCGGGCTGTGACGTCACGCCGGGTGCTCAGCGCCGGCCGTCGCCGGAGCCGGCCGGTGCAGGGGCAGCGGCCGGTGCGGTGCAGGGGCAGTGACGGGCGCGGGGGCAGTAACGGGCGCGGGGCAGTGACGGGCCCGAGGGCAGCGGCCGGTGCAGGGGCAGCGGCCGTCGCCGGAGCCGGCCGGTGCAGGGGCAGCGGCCGGTGCAGGGGCAAGGGCCGGTGCAGGGGCAGAGTGACGGGCGCGGGGGCAGTGACAGGCGCGGGGGCAGTGACGGGCCCGGCTGGGAGCTCGGATGGATACGAGACCGGACCAGCCGCGCCCGGCATCGGTGAGCAAGGGGAGACTGCTGAGGCTGCTGGGGCTGCTGAGGGACCTCAACGGTCAGCGCGGGGGGTGAGGCTGCTGGGGTCCAAACAGGGGCGGGGAATCGGAAGGGGGGTGAGGCTGCTGGGGTCCAAACAAGGGCGGGAATCGCGGGGGGTGAGGCTGCTGGGGTCCAAACAAGGGCGGGGAATCGGAAGGGGGGTGAGGCTGCTGGGGTCCAAACAAGGGTGGGGAATCGCGGGGGGTGAGGCTGCTGGGGTCCAAACAAGGGCGGGGAATCGCGGGGGGTGAGGCTGCTGGGGTCCAAACAAGGGCGCGGAATCGGAAGGGGCTGTCAGCCGAGGATTAGATCGAGACTTGTGGTGCGGCGTCCCTCTGGAGACTATCCCAGAAGTCAGTGCGAAGAGAACGCGACCATGCGACTGGCAGGGCCCATTTGGTCTGTTAGGCTCACTGCGATGTGATTTAGCAGACCATGTTATGATGTCATATTAAGCTCTGAATTACATCCTTGAAGTTAAAGGATGCATTGCGCACCACGTCTAATTGAATAAGTTGTAGCAGCCATGGGTCTATAACATAAGTCTAATATAATAAGTCTTACATAAGCGGCATTAGCATGCACTTTGTGATTACGTGCCGTTATGGTTGGTTGACGAGGCTGATGAATTTTTCGTGGTGTGTTCCTCGCGCCGACAAAAATTTGATTGACATGTAGCGTGTAAGGTCACAGCGACGTGAGCTGAACTTTGTAGGATTGGGTTCGTAAAGGCCTTATAAGATGATAGATGAATGGGTACACGGGCCAGCATTTGCTCTCATCGTCGAGGCATTGTGTCAAACTTTGTGCGTGGGAATGATACGGCGCCTTTTCCCAAAGGGTTGGAGGTACGCAGTTTCGGAAACCTTCCATGAAAACTTCGGGGGATACTTGATGATAAAACCCTACGTAGATTAAACAAGAGCTTCCATTAAACGTGTCCAGAAATTCCGACGAACTCAAGCTGACCGACGTTCAATTTCGAGGTCCTTATTGCTGCAGTCGCGCTGTTACAACTCCTCGGCATTCACTCGGAAGAAGTTTATCTGTAATGTCCGTTTAAAGACGTTCACCATGAATGCTGAACATCGGTCATGACGTGGTAGGCGAGACAGACCAAGGTAGGCACACTCTCACCGTGTGTGGTCCGGCGTGCACTGCTGACAGCTTCACCCGTGTGCCGGCAGGCGGCGCAGGAGACGGTTCGGTTAGAGGGTGACGTCATCACGGCCAACGGGTCGGTCATTTTCTCGCCGGATCACCGCTCATCGCAGAGTGACGTCACCAGCGTGTGCAGCTGCCGCTGTCAGCTCTGCTGTCCGATGCTCGGCCGACCCAAGAACAGGTCAGTGTCAGAGCCCGGCCTTTAACCTCAGAGCCCCGCGCCTTTAACCTCTGGTGACCTCGCCGGCGGGCCGGGCCGCCTCGGGAGCACGCGAGGATGTCGTCCTCGCTCAGTGGCGTGTCGCGTGCCTGGCGGCTGCGAAGTCCTCGCCCGCGGATTGGCTTTGTTTGCGCGGTGTCACCCGATCCCGTGGCCGCGCCGCCGTCTCGCTCGTGGCCCGCGGCGTAACCGAATTTGTCGACCAGCCGGCGTGTAACGACAGCGACATCCAACGCAACGGAGCAGGCCTGGCAGCGAACCGGCTGGGGGATGAGCCTGCCTAGTATTTTGTCTAGCGTCATAGTCGCCGCCAAAGTAAGCGGAGCATGTGTGTTGGGCTTTTCAGTACAGCATCGAACAGCTGAGGGAGCATTGCCATGAATCGTTAACGAAGGAGCGCCCACAAAGTCTTAGAAGTGCGGACGGCCGAACTTCGGAGTGCAGTTCACCATTCTCCCCAACTTTTGTGGAGTTCATGCTATACCGAGGCTGCTTTATCGCCCGCAAGTCGGCGAGAAATTCTGGCAAAGTAAGTAAACACATTTAGAAGCCTGAATCACCGGAATTATTCATTTCATGCATTCTTAAGTGTCATGCCCCGCGGGAGCTGACTCACTTAAGATAGCCTCGAAATTGTCGCGCGTCGAGGATGAATTTTTCGCAGTTAAAGCGAGATGACTCCCATATTTCAAAATAACTAACAAAGATTTTAAGAAACCGTAACGGATTTAAAACGATAGAAATTATGTTTTCATGAGTGCAATCGAATTATTTGCCGTTTCTGCTTTGCTGAGGGATTGACCAATTCACTTCAAGTGATTGTGGCAGCATTTATGCGCCGTTTAAACACTTTCGAGTTACTTGTGGTGAATGATGTGCATCGTTAAATGCTCCAGGCAAGATGGCTACGTACAATAAGTATCTATCCCTCCGAAGAAGGAGTCAGGTGTTGATATTAAGCACAGCTTCATGCTAGTGATCAGACAAGATGTGATGAATTTGAGCTACATGCTGAGAATCAAGCAGGGGATCACGATGAAATGGAAGTACATGATGAAAATCATGTGAGACGTCGTGAGTGGTTAGGACTTTATGCCAGTGATCAGACAGGACGTGATAAATTTGAGCTACAAGCTGTGGATCGAGTAAGGCGTCGTGATTCGTATGAGCTGCATGTTAAGGATCCTTCATGACGTGGTGATCGGTCAGAACTCCACGCCAGGGCTTACTGAGGGGATTGTAACGGATTATAACTCCATTTTCGGGATCGTACATGGAGTCGTAATCGGCTAGAGCTGCATGTTAAGCATCATGCAAGATGTAATTGGCTAGAGTTCCATGTTAAGGTTCATATAGAACATCCTGACCGGCTCGAGTTCCTCGTCATGGATCAAGGCGCTGCGATCAATCAGAAGTCCATGGTGGAAATCATGATAGGAATCAAACGTGGCGTCTTATCTGTGTGGCCTCGTGTCAATGGCGTGCCGAAGAGCAGAGCCTGCGGGTGACCAGGTCCAGCGGAGCCGGAGCTTCTTAGAACCGGCGGTGATGAGCTCATGTCGATCAAACCTTCAATTGAGGGTGACACGGACACTGGACAGGAAAGGCACCGTTCGATCAACTCGCCGAGGTCGAGTCATCATGGTTCGAGTGGAGGGGGGGGGGGGGTTGATGACTGGACGGGATCGATACTGGTGTAGTTAGTGCGGCTCCTCCCAGCAGCTGTCGGGGTGAACGGTGCTGGTGGTCCCCGCAGCCGCCGAAGTGAGCAGTGCTTGCCCATTCCTGCAGCTGCCGTGGTGATGGGTGATGTCCGCCCGTCCAGCCGCCGAGGTGAGCAATGCTGCTCATTCCGTCAGCTGCCGAATTTGCCTACGCCGGCAATTCGGTGCTGACTCGTGCCGTGCTGGTTACCCAAGCGTAGCTGCTGCTGTGGGATAAGTGCCGCTTTGGTCGTGTGCTGGTTACCCAAGCGCAGCTGGTGCTGTGGGATAAGTGCCGCTTAGGTCGTGTGCTGGTTACCCAAGCGCAACTGCTGCTGTGGGATAAGTGCCGCTTAAGTCGTGTGCTGGTTACCCAAGCGCAGCTGCTGCCGGGTGACCGGCGCCGCTAAGGTCACCAGACGCTGTGCTGAGAGGTACCGTTCATTTGCGCACAGCTGCTGACTGCGTGAGGTTGGAGCTCCAGGTCGGCGCGCGCAGACCTCCTTCCCTCGGCGGCTGACCGCCCGTGACGGATGCGACGCGCCGTCGAGCGGAGGCCGCGCCCGCCTCGCCGTCTCCGCCCACGGGATTGGCGGTCGGCTGTCAGCGGCGTATCTGGGTTGATTGACGCCGTATTGTGCGCCAGGAGCCGAGCGAACGCGGCCTGCGGTTGGCAGTCGGGGTGCTATTCCGGGCGCCGCTATCGCCGCACTCGCGTCTCGCGTGTCGACGCTCGTGATTCCGGCGCGGACGGCGCGGGACGTCGGCGATCACGGCGCCGCCCCGGGCTCACGACGCTGGTGACGGGCCCTGCAGGTGTCGATGCGGAGCGTGCGGTGGCGCTGACGGCGGTGCGGCGGCGCTCGCCATGTGACCGGCGGCGTGTCCCGCGCCGGACCAACCCTGTTTACCCAGCGGCCGGCGCCGGCTCCGACGCGAAATAGAGGCCCACAGCGCTCCTAACGGACGCAAACAAGGCTTTGGCGGGCGAGCCGGGCGGCTCTCTGTTCCGCCCTCACCAGCCGCCTCAGCCCGTCGGTCATCTGTGCCGAGAGGAACTGCGCCGCATTTGGCCCCGGCCTGTCCGCCCGGAGAGCTGCGCTGAGAGCGTCGACTCCGGCGACGCTGCCCTCGTAGGGAGCTGCATGATGTCGTCCGACCCCGCGACATGGTCTGACTCGGAGCTGGAGCCGGGACCGGGACCCGAGCCAGTCGCTGAGCTAGGACGCTGAGCCGAAGCCAGCGTCGGACCCTGAGCTGGGGCATCTACCCTGGGCCGGACCAAAGCCAGAGCCAGCCCCGAGTCAGCGCTAGAGTAAGGCCCTGGGCTGGGATATCTAGCCCAAGTCAGACCAAAGCCAGATCCAGCCCCCGAACCAGCGTCAGAGTAAGACCCTGAGCTGGGACATCTAGCCCAGGTCGGACCAAAGCCAGAGTGGGGCCCCAAGCCAGCGCCAGACCAATGCCCTGAGCTGGAACGTCTAGTCTAGTAAAACCAAAGCCAGGGTTAGCCCCCGAGCCAGCGCCAGCGCGTGGCCCTGAGCTGGGACATCTAGCCCAAGTCAGAACAAAGCCATGCCCGGCCCCTGAGCTGGGACCCGAGCCCGATTCTGAGAAGAGACCATGTCAATATAGACTGTTCACCGGACGGCACTCTGACGTGCTGTGGTGGCATCACTTTCATTTCCGTCTATACTTAGTTGACCAGCTGGCATTCTAGAATTCCGTGTACGTGCTCAGCCGCCGACAAAACAACGATCGCATGTCACCATGACGCCACCTGCATGAACTCACCACGGAATCTAGAACATGCGGCTCGGCTCATACGTTTGTGTATTAATTTGCTTGGCTTTGTCCGGGTTTTCCAACGCCACTCGGTACGTGTGCCGAGCCAGCAACGAACCATGAATCGATTGGACGTAACTTGCGAGCCGAGACATCTGTCGGTCACGGCCCACAGGATTGCTCGTACGCTTTCCGAGCGTTCTCTCGAGCTAGCGCGTCCAGCGCCTGGGTTGATGATCGCCCGCTTATGAGATGGCATCTGACGCGCCGTTTCGATGGACGCCTATCATTGCCTCGTCTCGCCCAGCCCGGTATCATTGCATCGTGTTTTCAGCGCCGAGCCCCAGCAGTGGTGCGGCTGGCATCCGTGCACATCTAAGGCCCGCCTATGGTCAAAACAATTATCTCGTCCGTGATACTGGTACCTGGCCTCAATGCTTCCGGCAAACCTCTAAAGCCCACCGTTGTTCCCGGAGTGGATAGGTCTGGAGTTCACCATCGCACCGACCGCCGTTGCAGTGCGGGTCGGGCGCTCCCAATCCCAATGATGTAAGAAGCATTACAGGTTTGGCAACGGCCACCTTGATTTCGATTCCGTTGCCCCCACTGCGGCATTTATCTTTTGGAAGACGCTGTTTCGACAGGTTTGCCACCCCAGCTTTCTTCGTCACGCGCCTCCCGAAGTCCCAAAGCCAACTTTTCGCTCCCATCTGGTGCGGCGCGGCGGGCGCGGCGACCGGCAGTCGAGTCAATGGCGACCACCAGCAGAATACATCAGTCGACCGGCAGCCCAGTCAATAGCGACCGGCAGCCGAGTCAATAGCGACCGGCAGCCGAGTCAATGACGACCAGCAGTCGAGTCAATAATGACCGGCAGCCGAGTCAATGGCGACCGGCAGCCGAGTGCATGGCGACCGATAACTTAAATCAACGGCGACCGACAACCGAGTTAACGGCGACCGGCAGACGAGTCAACGACGACCAGCGGATTGAGTCAACGGTGATCGGCGGTCGAGTCACGGCGACCGGCGGTCAAGTCAGCAGTAACCGACAGCTCGAGTCAACGACAACCGGCAGTCGAGTCAACGACAACCGGCAGTCGAGTCAACGGCTCGTGGTGACGCTCCACCAGGACGCCGCGCCACGCTGTTTTTGTCGCGACGCCAGCTGCAGCCGAGCCCGGAAATGGAGCCCCGATCCGAGACTTATACTGGTCAAAGCAGTCCATTAAAGATCGACATTGAGTTATAGTCTCAAACAGACGTCCACTGGCAAGTCGATGAAAGCCGGGACCTACTAGTAAAGGCGGTGGGAAATGTGCGCGGCGATTCCCAGCAAGGAGAGTTTGTGGATCAGGCTCACCACGTGCCTGAGCACCCGTCCGGTGAGCCATATTGGACACCACCACGAGAGAGCTGTTCGATGGTTGTGTACTTATTTGCATAAATGTGCGTGCATTTGTTCCACCGCATT